CTAAAATAGTAAAATCCCCTCCCATCCACTCTGCCCATAATAATTAGGAAACAAAGAAATTAGAAAAAAATAAAAAATTATCTACTATTTCCAACAACACGCAACTTCCAAAACAATAAAAAAGCGAACAGTATATAAAAACGAAAATATATGTGCAACAGGAGAGAAGGTACCTCGTCGGACGACACGAGTGATGCTGCTCAAGGATCTCGAAGGCCTTGAGGGGGTCTGCACTTGCCTTCTACATACATCGTGGAATGTGTTTTTTAAGTGAAGGAAATAATTTTACCGCCATTGTTTTTACTCTTGATACAAAAGTTACCTCATTGGGTTTTTGCTTGCTTCCAGTGTAGTTGCCTCAGTACTGCCTGGGGCACAGCCGAACACTCGGAACAGGTTGCTGAAATTGGGTAAAACATTTTGTTAAAAATGGGAAGGGTGTTTTATGAAGTGTAACTATGATATCTCAACAGAAATTTGACAGCACCTGTAAGAGCCAGTTGATACTCGAAGACCATCACCACTCAGGCAGCACTCGAATTTATCGAATATAGAATCATTTTCATACAAGTCACAAAGCTGAACAGCATGAAAGTACGAGTTCATCAGCTCGACAAAATTTGTATGTTAACAAAAAAACCGGGTCAAAATGATCTGGGGTTGATTGGGTAATTTTACCTTCGGTCTCAGATACTCGTGAACTTGAAAGGTCGCCACTGGGCCAGAATCCATATTTATATCCCACAACTAGAAGACCAAATGAGAAAGTTGAGAAGGCAATAAAGAAATAATGTATAGCCAACAGTAACCCAATGAAGAGAATGCTGGTATCTTCTTCAAAACGTGAAGTAGATGATGAAAACTTTCAAGCAGATCACTAGAATCTTCCATAAAATAAAGAAACTTTAAAGAAAAAAAGAAAGAAAAAAGAAAAGTCAAGATTAATTGATTAATAATATCGAAACAACCGAACAAATTTTTCTGATAACACTACACATTAATTAATTAATTTGTTTATTACTCTCGATAAGCCGAGCCTTCACTGATCAAACAATGTCACACGCATTTGCTCCAACTAAAACTAAAGTAAAAAAAAATAAAAATAAATGAAGGAACTACAAAAATAAAAACAGATGAAATAATAAAAGCAGGAAATCCTTAACGAGGAACTGCCCAGAAGACAGATAGTACCTTAAGGGTCATGTAATCACGACTCAGTATATGTCTGCCATCCCTCGCAAACTTAATATCCGATATGGAAGCAATTATCTCAGTGAAAAAAGATCTTGATCCTGGTGCCTCTGGTTCCTCAAAACTGTTTTATAATGGTAAGGTAATCAAATTCAAAAAACTATTCTGGTAGATAAGAACTTAAGGGATTTTAAAATTATCCAATGACTTCCCATTAGAAAACAAATATTGAGGGCAGATAAAATAACCAAAAAGTATCATCAGGAGCTTGAAATATATTGCTGGCAAAGGACTTACATCTTAGAATGTGAATCACATAATGCAGATTGCCGCAAATCAATGAGACGGATTGATCCCTTTGAACTGCTATATGCTAATGTGTTGCAGTGGGTAGGATGAAATTCGGCTGATGTTATTACCTCTGGAATCAGAAAAAAGGAGTCAGCTAATGATTAAGTAGATAAGCTCGGGGTTTTGTGCTGTTAGATTATTACATGTTCAAAACTAACCCAACTACCTTGGTCAAATTAAAATAATAAACAAATTTTCAACTAAAACTAATGATTAAGTATAGAAGCTCGGGGTTTTGTGCTGTTAGATTATGATTTATGTCCCAAACTAACCCAACTACCTTTGTCAAATTGAAATGATAAACAAATTTTCCACTAAATTTAAATTGTCTCATTCTCTTGCAGGTGGGGCAGTATACAACCAAAAAGAGAACGGGAGGAAGAAACTAAACTAGCCTCAGACATTATACGCATGTTTATTCTCTGCAAACTAGATTCTAGAAAAGAGCCATCATGATCATACAATTCTTGTAGGAAAGAGCAAGTAAAAATTGGCCTTGCAGTTAACATCACTGCTCCTGGGAGATTCTCACCCAGAAANAAAAAAAAAAAATAAAAAAAAAAAATAAGAAGAAGAAGAAGAAGAAGAAGAAGAAGAAGAAGATGAAGGATATGATAGAAATAAGAAAAGAAACTCAAAATACAAGCACAATAAGATTCAACTTACCAGTCAGATCCTCCATGTTCGTGGGCTTCACGTCAACAATGTTAAAACTTTGATTGCTTATTTCCAAGTTCCAAAGATTTATCCGTAGATCATCGGCTGATATAAATGTTTCACCATCACTGCAAGAATAATTAAGAGAAATTGATTTAGAGCTCAAATTAACCAAAGAGAGCGCACAAAGGTTTCACACAAGCTTATAATACAAATTCAGTAGGTAGTTTTATTAACAGAATGAATGTATGTGCTTTTCAAGGTTAAGGTCTTATGCAGCATAGCAGGTGATTAACGAATAATTGCTCGTTTCCTATAGAATTTACTATCTCAATCAAGAGCTTGTAAACTAAAAATCATTTCTAACTGTACATCTGTTGGAACTGCCGAAGGATATTCTAAGTGAACCACTACATAGAGCACCAAAGTACCTAATGGTACAAGTCATCCGGGGTCTGTCTAAAATAGTCATTACCAAGACCAAATCTACCATTAACATAGTATTCCTATCAAGTTTAAGAATATTCATAGGAAAACCGTGTAGAAAACAATAGTTGAAGCTGCTGCCACGCAAAGGATTAGATTAGTAGCAGGAGAAAGAAGACATGCATTACAACACCACGACGACAACTGTCCAGATATCTCATTAAATTAAAGGATCATACTCGGAATTACTTATTGTCTCAGAACAAATAAAAAAAAAAACAGAAGAGGCATCTTGAGTCACAATTTAGAAGTAGGCTAATCCTTTCAATTTATATCATTCTTGTTGTTTCAGCCCCTGGGACTCTGGGTTAAGGTGGAAAAAAGGCAAGGGGCACAAGAGGCAAGATAATCATCATAGTATACAAATATCTAAAAGCTTGAATCATTGTAATAACACATTTGTCAATGAAACCTCAAGGGCATAAGGAGTTCATACGCACAACACGGGCAGAAGCAAGATTCACCTGTTATTTGAGATTGAATTGATATGGTAATCATGTGCATGTGCATATACTCTCCTGCATCTGGCCTGAAGGCTCGTCTCACTGCTTGTAACCTGCAGATTGCATTAATCAAGTATTAGCGAGAGAAAACAAAGGACCACATATAAATAATTGTGGTAATAACACAGAACCATACATCAGAATCAATAAATTACAGAAGAAATAAAATAAACTCACATCCAAGAAGACTCAAATGTACCGACAGTCCAAATTTTTTTACTATATTCTAAATGGCACAAGCAGACACAAACAGAAACCATCCCACATAACACATTCAGACAAGCAATACTGTACAAAAATTCCTACTCCCTAGTAAAAAAAAGTACAGCTTCGTTAAGTACAACTACCACTGGCAACCGCAGTGAAGAAGTGCCCCCAGGTGGAAAGGACAAGTCATCGCTCAAACTGTTGTAAGATCGGTCTGAATGGCCTCCATTAGCAAGACTCTGCTTAGGACTTGGGGGAACACTAGAACTTGCAACAATACCATTTCCGGAAGCTTTAGACGGATCTGCATTTATATCTGAAATTTTCTTCACTTTCTTCTCCTGGATCTGTTAAAAAGACAAAAATAAATAAATAAATAAATAAAAAAAAAAAAAACTCAAGCAGGACGATAGACTGCAGGGAAAAAGTTCTAGCTTAATTTGTTACCATATTATTATTATTATTATTATTATTTACCATCAATTCTCCACAGAAGCAATCATGTTCCTTCCAAATTCAGACCACAGTAAAGATGGAAACCTCCAACATTGCAAGTATAACAGAGTTTCCTCGTAAATTACGACAGGTCATATAAATTCAGGTACAATGAAATATAAGCTTTTTTATGCTAAAACAAAGTATAAGTTTCAATGACAGAAAAATATATAATTTTCCTGAGCTAGTGGTGCAAGCAAGCTGTAATCCTTAGTAGATGACCAGCAAAGACTCTTCACAAAGACAGGGAACATGAAAGTGACTAATAGGATGAAGTTCCACATAAAGGCATTTACCACAATAAATATAAGAACACAATTTTCAAAATAAATACATAATATGAATAGGATGAAAACCCATGATTTCTCATAGAATTATCATTAGCCAATATGAATGGAATAATTTCTCTTTGTACCAGCTATAAACAGAAATGAAGCTCAAGACTGAAGTTCCAATCTCACCTTCCAAAACTTAATGGTTTTGTCATTAGTAGACAGAAGAAAGAGGGCACCATTAGCTGCCTGGCACCACCTAATCTTGTTGATTTTCTCCTCGATCTCCAAACTTTTTAGATAATCAAACTGATGGAAAAATAAATGCAAGTTACCATTATCACTCAAGCCTTCAGTTTAACTTTCTCATGAGAAGAATGGGCACAGGGTAAATATAAAAGAAAAAAAAAATAGATTAAAAATAAATAAGGAAACGGGAATGGAAAGAGATGCCTTTTGAACAACTTTCCAACTTAAACGAGTAGCACCCTGGGATTAGATCAAGAGTCCTATACTTGAAAGAAAAACTAATTTTAATCATGGATGAGGCTCTGTAAGAAACAATAAGGAACTAGCTGAAACTTGAAATCAGTACCTCAGGTTCATGGCTTTGAAATTCTGTTTTATAACGGAATTCTGGATGTCGGACTGGATAATCTGTCCTCTCTAAATCTCTCCGATTTCCACCATGCTGCAAATTTATTTCAGTATCTAATAAATAAATACATGACTAAGAAAATAGAACTGAATCTCTTTGATGTTCTGAAACACCACCTCTTTTATATCAGTCCTTTCAAATAGCACCACTCTTCCACCACGGTCACCAGTAGCTAGATGGCCACCAGATTTGTCAAACTCAATTGCAGAGATTATATCAACTGCAAATAGAGAAACAATGCATAAGCATATCAACTAACAGTTCTATACTGTATCTTTTCAACTTCAATATATAAGGATAAAGATATACAGTACAGAAAAGTAACCTGACAAGTAAGTTAGCTCAAATGCACGAATACATGTAATATCAGCATCATTCAGATTTAGAATCATCAACATTGAGAGTTTTAAATTTTAATATTGTACTCTTGCATGCGTGTGTGTGTGAGTGAGAAGAGCACAGAAATTAAGACATGCAAAATCCCATTCGGGCAGTAAACTATCTCCATGCATCCAACTCTTTGGATTAGTTACCACTTATTATTACGCCACAGCCACACTTTGACATGCTCTTCTACATCAGGACACACTTAGTGTGCAACCACCCCAAATATTCAGTGCATACTTGTTGCACAGACTAAAGTTTCACACGAGCCTAATTTTTGCAACACCGATGCTGCCAATTAAACAGCACAAGGGCAGTCAACAGATGCAATAACAGAAAGAAATGGATTAATTTCTTTTATATGTAATCAGCTTATGCTCATTAACTTTGCCTAATATATCCAGTTTATGTAACACGCACTTCAGATAATGGCAAAGAATACTGAACGAAAAACAGATTTCAAATATCTCTATTCTTCATCATTGGCACATTGTGGCCAACCCCGGTAAACTCTGGCAAAGATTGCAATTTTTATGAAGCTGTATATCATCTTGTAGCAACACATGTTTATGACTAAGAAGTACAAAACAAATTAGACAAACTGTAGAAATAACTATTTTGTAATGTTTCTCCAATGGTCCAATCTCCGGAAGCCGGGCGACACTTTTCCTACTTTAACGACCCATACTAAAAAACAAATAAGCCAAAACCTCTACATAAATATATCATACTCCAATAATCATGCAAAGATAAGTTACTGTTAGTTGACTGCACAATGTCAGGAAGTCACAATGGATAGTACAGCCATACCAAAACACCAAATGCAGTTATAGGCAAACTATTATAATACCTTGATTACAGCAAACAGTGTTAAAAGGCCAAGCCTCACTTGGAAAAACAAAAGGTGATGCTCTAGTTCAAGCCATACACACAAGCCTTCATATCTAAGGTTTGTGCATGGGGAAAAAAACATTTTTAACAAGAACAAGCGCAGAAAGCAACAATGAGAATCGAAATCACAGCATAAAACACTATTCCCCAAACAAAAATAAAAAATCATAGTGGACCGTATATGTTAACAGAAAAACTTGCATTTGAACTCTGACTCACTCCATTCCACTTCACTATAATCCCTCAAAATGTTAATAGAAACTCTATCATGCAGATCACACACACTTACATCCCCCCAATCAATCGGAAACCAATTTCTGCTTAATCAAGCCAACAAAAAATCCCCAAAAACGGATCAAATCAAAGAAACTCAAACCCTAGCCAACAGATCCAAAACAAAAACAAATAAATCACTTCACCACCATTCATTAACTCGTCATTTTACCTTCCTGCACCTCCTCCCCGACCGCCCTCTCGCCGAAGACCTGGGAGAATTTCCACTCCAGCGGCGCGGGTGGGCCCGCCGCAGCTGATGCCACCTCTCCACCGTCGCCGCCACCGTTCATTCTTCACCGACACTCAGACGTAAGGCGGAACCAAAGCAGCAGCAAAACGAAATTTATATATTTAACACAAAACAAAAACACAAAATCGAAAAAAAAGTTTAAATAAAAAAATACAAAGTGATTCTTGCTCCTGTTTTTCACTTCAATTCACATGAACGATTTAAGTTTCAAGGAATTGAAAGAGAATCGGAATGTTGGATTCAGATTCGACCATCTTTTTTTTTCTCACAGTGAAGGTGTGTGTATTACATCTATTTGGTACAAAGGGAAAAATCGATGATTCAGAATTTTCTCTTATGTATTAGATGGTATTGATACTGTATATGTTTTTATCGAGTACGGAATTTTATATTATTTTTATTTTTCTTTTCGATACCTGTTTCTAATTAATTCTTTGCATAGAGACTAGCTTATGAGGCTTTTCTTCTTCTTCTTCTTCTTCTTCTTCTTTTTTTCCTCCCTACATAACTAATTATTTTTTCGACTTTCATATTATTCGAAATTTTATTATGTTTGTTATTCATTTAAAATTTACAAACTATCTTTTAATATATACAAAATTTTAGGTATGTCTTCTAAAACCGAATTTTGACATATCAAATTCGATTTCAAACAATAGCAATTTATGAATTTTAAAAGAAGGAGATGCAGAATGTCGATTTCTTAAAGGCAATGTAAAGTTAAAAATAACAGTAGGTATTCTGTTAGGTTGTGACTCACTCACAGGCAGTCATACTTCTATAATAAATTTACATATTGTTAAATTCAATTATAATACCTAAATTACAATATAAATGAAAATGACATTTTATATTACAATTATGCATTTTTTTGTGAGAAAGTATGACCATTAAAAGTTTATACATCATAACATCAACATTTCATTTGTATTAAAAGAATAAGATTAAAAAAGACAAATTTTACATAGTCAACAAAAATTATTCATTATTATTTTTTATATTTTGTTTTATTAGTTTTATTCTTTTTTTTTTTCATTTATGTAAAGTATAACCTAAATCAAATATTTTGTTTCTCTTCAATATTTCATAGTTTCCATCATAGATGAAATCCAAAATGTTTACAGAAAAGCAAGGAACATATGATATGTATATATATAAACAAATTTAATAAAACTATTTGGGTTTTTCATATTTTTTCATTACAATTCATGAATTCAATAATGTTTTTTTTTATTATTATAAAATATGTCATTGATATCTAGTAAATGACTTTTTTATTATAAAATATGCAATTGAATCCTAGTAAATGACTTTAAACATAATGGTTAATTAAAGTGTAATCATTTTTTATTTATTCTATTATACAATAGTCATTACTAAACTAAAAAATTATATTTCACACTCAATAGTATATGGAAATTCAATAAGAATAAAAACTATATTGCAAATTTTTCTTAAACTATTTCTTGTGTATCTCATTAAGTATTTTTTTTTTAATAAGTTAATTGACTTTAGTGGTATAACCAAATCTCTTATGATGATGATGATGATGATAATAATAATAATAATAATAATAATAATAATAATAATAATAATAATAATAATAATAATAATACTTTTAGGATAATTTATAAGTTAAGATTCCTCAAATTTATGAAAACTACATTATTCATTTCATTTTATGCAATCAATATAGTGAGGTTGAATACTTTTATAATGTTCATTTTTACTAATGACAAAAATTTTAAACTGTCATACTATTATCTAATTTATAATTTTAATATTATATATATAATATAACTTACAATAATTTAAACATCGGTGTACATGCACAAGATCGAATAATAGTACCAAAAAAATTTGATGTAATTGAATTAAATGAAACTAAATTATCCTGTATGATTATATCAAATTATCAATTGGAATGCGTGACAGAATCAAGGCAATTAGGGAAATATTTAATGTATATACAATTATACATGCATTAAAGTACTAATAACGACAGCATTATGTAAGTTGTAACCTGTAACTGTTAGATTTGATGCATTAATTACTTCTGAGGAGATGCATATCATGTCATATTTATCCTGCTATTTGGGCTGCTGTGATAAGGATAAAGTTACAGACTTAAAGCCCACTGGCTTTGGTGAGTGGAAAGTGAATGTCAGAAGTACCCTTTGTCCTATTCTTTTTTAGTTGGGTGAATTTATTTTTATCCAACAGTATTGGGTGGATTTGTAGAGGTTATTTGTTGTGTTGTAAGGTGGAATGAAGAGAGTAGTTCCAATGGAGAACATGGATTTTGTGAGCAAATTTGGCTGTTTTTGAGAAGTTTTATAGCCAGCAGGTTGACAATTGATGATAAGAACAAATTTATACAATATGATCCAGTGTTAGTCAGGTCGTTAACTATTATTCAGTTATACTTTTACATATGATATGCATATCTAAGGCTATTATTAAACTGAACTCTTCGCGAATAGAGATCATTCGTGTTCGATAACAACTCATTCATTTAGTAGTCGATCCAAACATGAAATTATGCGCTTAGTTATCGAACAAACACAAACAAGTTCGCTAACTAATCGAGCGTTAGCGAACAAAAAAAAAAGTATTTTATTTTATATATCATACATAGTATATACATATATAATATAATATATAAATATAGATATTAAATAAAATAACTTGTATGGCATTAAAAAAAGTCAACAAACACGAACACGAACTAGTCGAACAATTCGAACCCGAACTTGTCGAGCAAATATTCAAACAGGTCACGAACAAGTTCGACTACATAAACGAACGAATACGAACAAAATTTTTTGTTCGATTACTAATCGAACGAATACGAACATGTTCAAATTAGTCGAACTGAGTTCCAAAACCGTTCGATAACAGACCTATACATATCTATCATGGTGAAAAAAACAATATCAATAAGAGTATGACATTATTTTGCAATGTTGGGCTCTACGGTACAACTACACATATTTATGAAAAAATAATATAAAATAACGAGTCAAGGTCATCTTCCAACATAACTTGTAAATCAAATGATCCTAGGCATTAAACTATTTATTGATATTAGGCATATGTGTTATTCAAACCAAATTGTACGCGGATACAGTCGGCTCGTGAACTTCGTTGATGTTCATTTACTTCAACAAGCCAAATTTGTACAACTGATTAAGCTTGTTTTCGAATAGCTTGTTTATTTTTATTTTTTCTTTTAATTTATATAAGTTTTAAACGAGCAATCGAGTTGAGCATGTTCTCGAAAGCACGAATACTGTGTTTGCAAATTGCTCATTTACATTTGGGTATGTTAAATAAATCGAACTGAATTAAGACGAGCTTAGACAAGCCGAGGTGGAGTACAACCTAGCCAGCTAGTTTATTAAAAAATTAAAACGAGTTGGGTTGGTACGACTTGGTGAATGTCTTAGAAGTTAGCAAGTTAAACTAACATTAGTTAATAGAGTAATTTGCACCCTCCACTTAAATAATATGAAGATATTACATAATTACATCCCATATATAATTATTTACAAACTAACTTAATTTGTTAATTTTATTTTCATATATGCCTAAAAATCTGTTTTTTCATATTTATGGTATCTATATATATATAATTGCTAGCTAATCTTATTTAATAAAACATTTAATAAAAATATTTTCACTTTCCCTCCAAAAGAAGTTACATTTTTTTTAATTAATTACTCATTAATCTCACATTTAAGAAGGTTTTTTATAGTTAAATTTAATTAGTTAATGACTAAATTAAAAAGATTTATTTTAATTAATTCCACATTTATGTTAAGTACATTATTATTTAATATCTTATCAGTTTTTAAAAAAAAATAGTAACTTATTTCAATAAATTTTATAAAAATTAGTCAAATGTGCTTATATTCATATAAATAAAAAAAAAAAATCTTAGTTATATAAAAAGAACATCGTTGAAATAACTTGAATCCGCAAGGGTAATTCTATACTCATTATCAATTACTTTAAATTTTTTGTTTATATAAAAAATTAATATTATATTTACTCATTTATATTTAGATGGTATTTTTTTTTATTAAGAAGCAAGGACAATCTCTATCGATCAATAAGAGTCAAGGACAAACAATATAAAGAAGTGTTTCCTATACTATGACATATCAATAAGAGTCAAAGACAGTCTCTGTCGCACGTCGGCTTACTACTGAAGACCTCTGCATTTAGTCATGAGCAATTATACGTGGCGCTTTTTAGAGTTACGAGTCCGTGGGGTTTGAAGATTTTGATTTGAGCTGAGGGAGATTTTGACGATAGAAAAACCACGACGTTGTTTTATAAAGAAGTGTTTAAGAATATTTATATTTTTTTTTCTTAATTTTTTTCAATGAATTTGTTATGATTTTTACTATTGTTTATAATTTTTATTATTTTTTCATGTATCATATAGTTTTCCGTGCAAATGCACGGGACAAAAACTAGTTGTTACTAGATAATGGAGGAATTAATGAGAGTCCATCGGTTACCAAAAACTGATTTCTTATTTAGATGGTAACTTCCATCAACTACGCCTCTCTCTTTCCCCTCCCCCCGCTCTCTCTTCTTCACACACGACACTCTCTCTATCTTCTTCGCACAAGTCCGCCGCAACGCCTGGCTTCTCCGTCAAGTACGTCCCCTTCAACACCGTCCTCCACCGAGTCCTACTCCCTCGACGAGATCGTCTACCGAGCCATCCCCGCGGTCGTCATCTACATGTAGGCGATGCGAGAATCTTTTTCTATGGAGTCGACGAGAAAGAAGATGAATATATTCCGGAGCATGATTTCCTCAATTATCGCCGGCGACGGCGTGCTCTAAAGAGGGTTTCGGCGTCTCCACAATCGGGGGAGATGAATGGTTAGTTGCAAAAAATTTGAATTTTGCTTCGATTTTTTAGGGTTTTGGACTGTGTGTAGATTAGTCATTACGTTGAAATTTGTAGACATTGGAATGGAGTATATGTATAGTATATGTAAGTATATGTACAGTATATATGACTTTGCTTCCTCCCGATGAGTGCAGTATATGTACAGTATATATGAAAACATGATTTCCCACTCCAAACATATTACATAAAAACATGATTCCGATCAAGAAATATACCTCTCTATCTATTATATTTTTTTCTTTTTTGTTCTTCTATTACATGAAAACATGATTTCCCACTCCAAACACAATTATGGGATGCACCTGTCGATCAAAGTTGTTCATATTATTTTGGAGATATAATCATTCCATACATGAACCAGACTTTTTCTGTATTGTGGTATATGAACAGTATATGTTAGGATGTAAAGTATATGTACAGATATAATCATTCCATACACCTGTCGATTAAAAATTTTTGGTATATTATCAGTATATTATCAGTATATTTTTTCATGACATTATCAGGAAGACGTTCGACAGTATATTATCAGTATATTTTCGGTACATTCTGCCGTTAAAGATTTAAAGTCAAGATATCTCACACCCTGGGGACGCTGCTCGTCGGGGTCGTGCTGACACATGTCCAGTATATTTTCGGCGTATTTCCTTTTTCTTTTCCGTCTGTTTCAACGATGATTATGAATTTAAATTCAAATATAATATATTTTCATCTTGAATCCTTAAATTGTGCGCTACAAATATGGAATGGTTGTTCACCTTACTTGTAACTGTTTTAGGCATGAATATAATTACTTTTTATCTCTTAGGTATATACACAATTTTATTGATTTGGATGATAATGTTACAATTACTTAAAAAAACGGTAAGTATACATAAAAAATTCCCCAGTTAAGAAGAACAGCTAAAACAGTTAGAAACAAATAGCAATAATAAAAATTGAGTCAAAAACATTTGCTCTTCTCCACAAATTAATTCGATTTTGTTGCAACATTTCAAGGCAAACAATATATACCATTGGCCGCTCATTTTAACATCCTCCACCTAATTACCTCATCAAACTGGTTCCT